TTACCTTATGACAAGCTTAGGTGATCAAATACAAGCGAGATGTTTACTTTTGCGCAATACATAGCAAAGACTTCAGCAGACTGTTTGTCTCTTTCGTTTAAACGATGATGGGGTGGATTTTCCATAAGAATTAAAGCTTCGGTGCTAGTGCCTTTGAATTACACAATAGGATGCCCTAAATAATTATATTTTGAAAAAAAGGGAAGCAAATGTCTCACTTCCTGGAAATAAATTTCTTCGGGATATTTTTGTGCTCAGTACATGTCATCCCAAGGTTGTTCTCTGGATAGTTATTAACGGACTTTTACTGCCGAATCAATCAACTTTCGTGTCCAAAAACCAAAGAACGGTGGCTTAGCCCGACTGTGAACTATATTTTGTTAAGACATCGGAGATTAAAGTGGCTAACGAGGTTGTGAACCCACTGACGGATGCAAGGTAGGCCGCAGAAAAATGATTCGTTCACGTTGGTAGAAGATTTATTGGATTTCTTATTAGGTTTGGCATGACAGACCATTCAAACGAAACCTCATAGAGTAAGAGTTGAAAAATCTGAACTATATGCGCCATAAAGGTGAACATTACAGTGACTGGACAATAGTTTATGACAGTACAATATATCTGATGTATTAAATTGAGATATTACTTGTAAAGCCCGTGTTAGAGTAACTGATGGAAAAAGCCATACAGCCAAAGACAATAGGATTATCTTAATGTATTGTCTCTATTTACCAATCTGAAATACAAACACTCAACCAAAAGCAAAAGCTAAGAAAAACATCTCTGTCCAGAAGGGGTGACACTAATCGACAATTAGTTCACGCTTTTCCCTGTAAACTCAACAAAGGCTCAGTTAAGAACACCCAATCCCACCCAGATACATTAGCCTAATTTATACATTTTGTTTTGTAGAGCAGAGCCACGACGTTTGAATCGCTGTCGCGCCAGAGTCGTTTAGCAAGGCAGACCTTGCCGAACTTAGTTTAAGTTTGATTCAGACGTCCTGCTTCTGGCGTGCTTTCCTCAAACTTAATTCCTGAATTGAGGTTGACACGGTAGTAGCAAAAAGTCTAAACTGTGTTCACAAGAAATAGCGTTAACGAATTGTAGAGTAGTGTGACTAGCATCAAATTTCTCCCCCAAAAAAACCAACCCCTGAAAGGAAATGATCACCTGCTGAAAAAAGACCTTGATTGTTATAAAAGTTGTCCTTGTGAGCACCCTAAGAAATGTATAAAGAACAATATGGATGCTTGAAGTGAAGTAAACCAGAGCTAAAGGTTTTGGCCCACAGAATAAAAGCTGAGAAAGTATGTTTGGAGTCCCTCCTGTTTAGTCAGAGTGTAAGTTTTCGTTCTTGCGATTCTCTACGTGATTTAAACGAACCCTTCAGAGGATTTTTCGCCAGGGAGTGTCGAGATAAATACCCGGCCGAGACTATCGATAAGTGGGATGGGATTTCTGCACACCAATTGTTTAATTATGATGACGGATTAAGACAACTTGTTTTGAACTTGATTGAGAGAACTTGTTTTGTGATTGGGTGACAGTGATGTAAGATCAAGTACACAACAAATGCATGTGGTGATGGTAAAGTCAGCTTTCGCGCATGCTCCCTTTTAAGGTGACACAGCGGCAAAATGAGTGTGTATGCATGTAACAAGCGAGAAATTTGATGCATGCAAAGGAATGGGGACGACAATTTTTTTAAAGTAAGACTGTTGAGGCATATTGGTGGCATTTTATAAATTCCCATAGTCAGTTTTCATTTTGGTGGAATAAGCTGAAACCAAAATTTATGTCGGACCTCCTCCGTCACATATCTCACTCAACAAAAACATGTTGCACTAGTAGGTGTGAATTGAGGGGCTGAGTAAGAGCATCCGTAACATGGCTACGAAGTTTGTAGCGACTGAAAGCTAACAACTAAAATAAAGGGAATGTTGGTTACCCTTCAGAGCCTTCCACGAGAATAAATTGTATGAAATTGTTCAACTGGTTCACATCAATAACAGTCCAAAAGAAACAGTATGGTAAAACCTGTCCCTGGTTACCGACCCTGATAACTCATGTAACAATATACTTAGAAACATTACGCGCTTCTGATTGGCCGAAAACGAATGCATTTTTCCTGTAAAACGAGTGCAAAGTTGTAACAAGACTGTCAAAATTTCGTCTGTCTTGACTATCTGTGATGCCTTTTTCGTGTAAACTATTAACGAGTAACAATTCTCGTGCAATTTGGTGTAAATAAGCACTTGTAATTTTTTAAAGACTAAAAGTCGCACTCGCCCTACGGGCTCTTGAAACTTCGTTGCCTTTTAAAACGCGAGTGAGATTTACTCGTGCATATTAACACTAAATTACATTCGAAATCATGCTTTTAGTTATAACTATGCTGTTTTAAACATGTTTCGAGGGGTTCAAGTCCCTGATTTGTTCCTACGCGCCGCCTTATGACATATGTGCCGTTGCTCCTATTTAGCACGAAAATATGTTCAGATATTTTCCCGCAGACACGATCTGTTCCGAGAAAAAACATTTTTGAGCTGTATTTGCTATCGTTAATATATTTTTGCCGCGCGAGGGACAAAATGTTTACGATCAGCTTAACGTTTACTGTGTGGGATGTTTCGCATTTTTCAGCGTTCTCTGGTACGACTTTATAGACAAAGAAATATTTCTCCTCTTCTCCAAACTCTCTGTCACATTGAATGAAATTTTAAACGCAGAATTATCGTATTGGACATAAGCTTTTGAAACTGGAGAATGTCACTTGGGGAATATATAGACAATAGCCTCTATTGGGCGCGAAAATAGGCACGGATATTTGTCCGCGGACATTATCTGTTTCAAGCTACGAACAGTTTTCTGAAAGCGAAACTCGAGGAAAATTGTGAGCATCAAGGAACAGGTAGTGTCCAGGGACAAATGTAGGAGCATATTTTCGCGCGCTTACTATTTACGGTGCAGGAGGTTTTCTTTTGAGTGTTATCTGTTACGGCTTGATGAACGAAGCAAATATTTCCCTTCTTCTGTAACAAACACAAAATGCTCTTTCATCTTGAAGAGACTGCTTCTACGCTTCTTATCTTGTAGAGCATAGAGAAGTATAAACTCGGACTTCTAGAGAAGGGTCAGGAAGGAAGTCAAAGGTAGACTTCAACGATGAATTTAACCGTGACGCGCAAAGGTGAAAGTTGCCGTATGACGTGAAAGTGAAAAATAAGGAATCGCATTATCACCTTGCTGGCCCCTTCTTAATATCGCGTAATAAGCGCAAATTTTAAAACAAACAGGCACAACTCGATAGATTCCTTCTAACGAGGCGACGTTCACTTACAAAAATTACAAGGTGACAAAGGAGTACTCGGGTTCCACACATGGCAGAGATTTTTAACTTATGCAGATGTAATTCAGTTTCGAAAAAAGAACTTCAAGGGACGAAAGGTCAATTGCATCAAATAACGTGACTTTTGAAAACTCACAGTCAGTAACACCTTAGACTTCGGAATTTGCTCTAATTGACAACCGTATTGAAGCGCAATGGGATAGGACAGAGCCCCACTTTAGGTTGTCGTTGTGTTTCAATATTTTGAAATTTTTTTATTTAGTGGATAACCTACGGTACAAAGATGAGACGAAAAATATGGCTATGGTCAGTCTTCAGAAGGAAATTAATTACGATCCATCGGCTCAGCTGATTGAGTAGTCGTATCTGGAAAGTACGAAACTATCGCGCTCTTCGGCCAAATTGTACACCTTTTAAACAGTAGAGACAGTACAAGAACAACTTAGAAAAAACCGCATAATGAGACTTGTGCTCAGTTTTCAGTGCCTGAGTCTTTGCCTTCGGTATCAACAGTATTGGCGGTCCAAGTAAAGCAAAAAGAAATGTTCGACAGCTTCCCCAGAAAAAAGGAAACTTTGGTTTTCCCGGCAAAAGAGTTTTCAAGCGAGGATGGTCATTCCATAGAGCTTGTTGCGGCAAAATGTTCAAACAGTTCGCCAATCAAACACTGACGTGTACTTAACTACACTATCAAATCCTCGACGTTTACGTACAACCTCTTGTCGTAAATTCTCATGTTGATCAGCCTCTAAAAAGAAAAAGAAAACAATAACATTATGAAACTGAATGTGCTCCCCTTTACGTAATATCATGAGTTATCCACATGAACTGTCAGGTACAAGTATTCTTTAGAATTACAGAACTTCATCATTCGCTATTTTTTTGGGCATCTCAGGGCAATTTTGCAGTAGTCTTATCATCTTTTATATAATGACTATAAAGATTTTTCTGTTGTTGGAACATTATATTTTGCTTCTCGCATACCGATAATAACCGATAATAACCTTTACTTTGTTTGCTTCAAGGAAACAACAGGAAGAAGCAATTCAAACTTCGCACAAATTGGAAGAGATGAGGAAATATCAAGTTAGGCCATCTGAATGACAATCTATGAATTTAAAGATGCTCCAGCGTAAAAGAAAATTATCCACCATAATTTTCACCTTGTGTAGACTTTCCATGTCTTTAAGCTGTTTTTTTAATTCGGTGAAAGCTGGTCTTTCATCCGGGTCATTTTGCCAGCATCTCATCATGATCTGATACCTAGAATTTTTTATATGGAATACGATATTATTTCATCTTGCGAACACCAAACATCAGTTGATGTGAAAGAGTTTATATAATATTTCCTGTTGTAAGGAAGGAGAAAGACTTGATAGAAGCTTACAATTCATTATCCACGTGTTGTGGTTTAGGCATTCTGTAGCCCTCTCCAAGTAAGTTGGCAATTTTTTTTCCATCCATTCTTGGGTAAGGTGAACCGCCTGAAAGAGATCAACAAGTCGGCATGTTAATGTCTTAAACAATGACCATCACTGAAAGCACCACCCATATCATTCGATGGAGTATGAATTTGCATGGAAGTTTATCTAACTGAAGAAAATGCATTGTTAAACGCGAAACTTTTTGCCGTACCGGAGTTCCCGTGTGTTTTGCGTTTGCGTGTTAATTACCTCTGAGTGTTTGTAAATTTTATTAGCTGTATTGTGTACTTGTGGTTGATATTTATATCGTTGCTTAATACTACGTATTTTATGTCGAGTAATTTGTCAAGTTTTGTGGATAAATTAACTCCTGTGCATCAACGTTTATGTCCACTTTTTAGAGGCAGCCTTGTTGTTTTTTTAAATGCCTGTATAGCTATGCACGTAAAATCTTCTCCTCTATTGTGAGTTCCCTTTTATGTATTTTCCTTGCTCAAGTTTAGTAACGATGACGTATGGATATTTTAAATAAAAGTATGAGCCCAATTACTTCGGTTATACAATTGCTCAATTCAAAGAAGTGTATGGCAAAAAAAATCCACAAAATCTCTTAAATTTCTTTCTCAAACTAATTAATTATCCATGAGGTTATCTTCCAATGAGGGGAAAGAATTGCGTCACGTGCATGAATCTAGATACTTGATAAAAACGCATATCTAGATCACTAGTGATTGATTTAGGAACACTTTCCTTTAGCAGTTTACTTTCCTCTTCACCGCTTTTTGGGACACGAAAACGGCTAACTGCATTACTTTCTGCCATAATCAAGCTCCGACTAACCATGGAGCTATAAACTAAATGAGCAAAACTACTATAAACTTAGCATACACTTTAAATTACCCAAAGAAACCCCAAACAGAAAACAGATGTATGATAGCTGATAATGATTTCCAAAATTATGCAACCAATGAAAAGAACGTAACAATAGTGTTACGATTTTATGTGGTAAATAATATAGGCAGTTTAAGAAGCAATCTAAACCTCGTGCTTCGGGTTTTGATGGTGGCATCCAAACATCACGAAACAAATAAAGGCACTCGGTCGAAGCGGCCTCATGCTTTCCTTTGTTTCTCAATATTTGGATACCGCGATCAAACCCTCGTACTCGTTTTCTATATACAACATCAAATGTTACCTATGGTGAAAATCTCGTAAAGAACAACTCCATAACTCCATCTGCAGGGAGGCAAAGAAAACATGAGTAAAATGGCTGGTTGAAAACATACACATTTTATGAGGCAGACGAAATATTTTGTTTGACAAAGTTTTTAATCCTTATTTATAGTATTAAAATTTACATAATGGAAATTTATAACCTAGTGCGGGCTTCTATCATCTTATTGGTAACTATTGAGTCATCACTGTACAAGGTCTATAATTTCCCTTCCAGTTTAACCACGGGTCTTAATCGTTTTAAAGATTGAATTTGAGGCATATAGTGAAAAGGTAAGTATGCCAAATATCATGAGATTCGGAAACTGAATGGACATTTAACTCTAGAGGCAACGAAATTAGCTTTAGAGTTAACGATATTTCGATTCCCGAACGCGATACGGGTAATGGTTGGAAAAAGATAACTAACTTGCTGATTTCAAGTGAGGCTTTGCGCCATTTGGACTCTTATTCGGATCGGTAATTATCATTTTCAGTTTTCAGGTAGCACGCAATTATTATATCGTGGACAAATTGTGTCTGTTGTGTCATACAACAATTGGTCGATGCCTGTAACTGTGCGTATATCGAGTTGTGGGTGCACTTGGAAAGCCAGGGGAGCGCTCACGAAGCAAGAATTGCTGTCAGCCGCTCCTAAAGGAATTCTTACGCTTCTCTTGTGCTCTTCAAACTTCCCACAAACATCCATACCAATCCCTACCTCTATTTACGCACACTAAGCATGAACCATTTGTTTTATAGACGCCATCTTTAAGAGTTATGATCAGGTATACTTACACGTCACTTTTGGTGGTATATGCACCATAGAGCAACGCCTCATAAGCTGTCCACTTCACTGGAAGACGGCCCTAAAGATTTGGGTAACAGAACAAAAATAGTAAGCGATCAATCAACGACATTTACAGATGAAATAGTACTCTATAAGTATCCGTTATTTAACAAATAGAGGTGGGAAGAAACACTCGACTACGTCTCGTGTTTCTCCCTACACTTCTTTCGTGCTCTAGCCGCTTCCTGCGTGCTTTATAACAGAACAGAGCACAGTCAAGGCTTCTCTATTTGTTTTATAATAAAGAATCCCTTAAATTCCCCATGTGTTACTTTCAATGTTCAAAACAAACTTTATTTCCAAAGCGAAGATCAGTGTCGTCAGCATGCTCTATACTCTTATAGAGCACGCTACAATAAGCCAATCAGAACCCCTGTTAGAATGGTTCAAATAA